ATCCAGGCAGTCTGGCTCTAGAATCCAAATTTTTAATACACACATTCTTTGTTTCCAGAGCTCGTTTTTAAGCTCCTCCAGGGCACCTTGAGCACCTATTCTCTTCCTCAGAAAGTTCTAGCACAACGCCCCAGTATAGGTAAATAGCTGTTAATTCACAGGCTGAGACCCAGGGGTGGAAAATCTGTTGCAACCATTCCCTGGGTGGTCATCAATTCACAGGGCCCTAAGCATTGTGCCTCAGGAGAAAACGTTAAGGTATATCTAAGAGACAAAAGAGATGGTACAGAATGGGAAGTCAGAGAAAGGGAGATAGTCCACACCAATATAGGGAAAAGGTTTCCTTGGGTTCAGCCAACAAAGACTGAGTAGCTCAAAGACTGAGTAGCTCCCTCCCCCTCTCCCCATAGGCCTGGCACCGGGTTCAACACAGAGCATTCAAAGACTGTAGGTTTCCATGCTCGGGGTTTTACAACCTGAAGCCAAAGCTCTTGGGCAGAGGGTGGGAGTCGGGGAGGACAGAAAGGGCAGACTGCGAGGCCCAGACTCATGGAACTCATTTTTAGAAGCTCCCAGTGGAATGTGTAGCATAGGTGGCAAGACTGAGCAGAGAGTTTTCTGCGTTGGGAGAACAGTGAACCGGGATGCTGGCAGCACTGAGCATGCGTGTCTGGGAGGGAACAAGGAGACACGGAAGGGGCCCAGTAGCCCTCTGGGGGTTGGACAAGCAGCTGTCCAGAGTTGGGAGTACACGTGCAGACACCCCCCCACCCCTGGAACCACTCCTAAGCCCAGGGTGCCCAGATGCCCTGGTTTGCCGGGACCGTCCTGCTGGATTCCCGTTATTCCAGTGTCCCTTCTAGAAGTGTCCCCTTTCTCTCAAAAGCATCCTGTGCGGGGTGTAAATGACAAGGTCACCTTACTCCGAGGCCACTCTAGGCAGCCTGATGTGGCAGATCATTCTGCTTCCCCAGCACCCCAAATCCCATTTCGACCTCTTTGGTGGGCGGGACTTAGAGCTTGCTTTGCACACATTGGCTTTCCTGCCTTCTCCATCACGGGAGGCACCCGCTGTGCCCCGAGTTCATGTGATGAAAAAAATCCCCAATATGGACCACATTTGTGGTCCTTCCTTATCCATTTGTCCGTTGAAGGGCATCTTGGTTCTTTCCATAGTTTGGCAACCGTGGCCATTGCTGCTATAAACATTGGGGTACAGATGGCCCTTCTTTTCACTACATCTGTATCTTTGGGGTAAATACCCAGTAGTGCAATTGCAGGGTCATAGGGAAGCTCTATTTTTAATTTCCTGAGGAATCTCCACACCGTTCTCCAAAGTGGCTGCACCAACTTGCATTCCCACCAACAGTGTAAGAGGGTTCCCCTTTCTCCACATCCCCTCCAACACATGTTGTTTCCTATCTTGCTAATTTTGGCCATTCTAACTGGTGTAAGGTGATATCTCGATGTGGTTTTAATTTGAATCTCCCTGATGGCTAGTGATGATGAACATTTTTTCATGTGTCTGATAGCCATTTGTATGTCTTCATTGGAGAAGTGTCTGTTCATATCTTCTGCCCATTTTTTGATATGATTATCTGTTGTGTGCCCTTCAGCAGACGAATGGATAAGGAAGATGCGGTCCATATACACTATGGAATATTATGCCTCCATCAGAAAGGATGAATACCCAACTTTTGTAGCAACATGGACGGGACTGGAAGAGATTATGCTGAGTGAAATAAGTCAAGCAGAGAGAGTCAATTATCATATGGTTTCACTTATTTGTGGAGCATAACAAATAGCATGGAAGACAAGGGGAGTTGGAGAGGAGAAGGGAGTTGGGGGAATTTGGAAGGGGAGGTGAACCATGAGAGACTATGGACTCTGAAAAACAATCTGAGGGGTTTGAAGCAGCGGGGGCTGGGAGGTTGGGGGAACCAGGTGGTGGGTATTAGAGAGGGCACTTATTGCATGGAGCACTGGGTGTGGTGCAAAAACAAGGAATACTGTTATGCTGAAAATTTAAAAAAAAAAATCCCCAATAAAAAAATACATTGGCCTGACTTTCTGAGGGGTCTTAATCGCCAAAGCAGGGGGCTGCACATGTGGTCTGATAAAACACAGGCACGTGCGGGGTTACAAAGTGTCCAGAAAGGGACATAAGCCAAATCTCAAAGTGGTTTGTATCCGCCGGAAACCCTACTAAGATAAGAGAGAAACAGGTGCTCGTTGGTGTTTCAAAGCAGTGCAAATTCTGTCTCTCCAGCTACTCACAGGACAGTTAGGTACACACCACTGCTCTTACGTCCTTGAAGTCTATAGTGTTAGACAAGGGACTCCATAAACACACTTTTTACCACCTTTTACATGGAAATTTAAATGCTTATTTACATTTACTTCAGAATTTAAAGTTGAACAGATGTCTTGAGGCCCTTCTGAGAATCAGAATGGCTTCTATATATTCTTCAGATCCAAACATTTGGATCCAAACAAACTTTCTATTGAGTTCTCTTGCCAATTCAAAGTATTGATGTGGTTTTATTTCAGGTTTATGGAAGGCAAAGACCCAAGGCCTCCGGTCCCATCCCCATGCACTGCAAATACTCAGGTTGGTTTTTTTCTCCTCTCTGTGTCTGAGCAGGAACTAGACAAAGGGGTGTTCTGCCGACAGGAGGTTTTCTGAATGGGAAGGATCCCTCTGATGAGCCATTTGGAAGGTTTTAAAAATTCTTTTAGAATGTTTGATAAGCTATCAGAATTACTTCATCAGATTCAAATTCTTTCCTAATGGGAAACCAAAGCTACAGGAATGTGTACTTTGCGTTTCCTTCTCATTTACTGAAACTCAGCGAGGAGTACTCAGTACTGGGCTATGCTGGCAAACTAACCTGTTTGTTGCTAGAGCTGTTTGTTAGATGCACTGGGGTGAGCTCTGGGCTCCTACTCTGTGCAAGGGCCCGTGACAGCTGATGAAGGGGATGGATGGCAATTTTAAGGGAATGCACAGGCATGGCCTTGGAGTCGGGTCCTTAAACAATCACAAGACTTTAACCAGAAGAAAAATGGGCAGGGGATGGAGTGGGGGGTTGGAGGCTGAAAAGAATGCCAGGCATAAGGAACAGTTGAGGCAAAAGCACATGGGGAGGAAGGGAGAGAGTTGGGAAAGCAGGGAAGAATTTGGAGGAGGACGTGGGAGAAAGTGGGGTCTCCCCGTGCTGTATGGCAAGTTTGTACCTTGTTTCCAGACGAGTGAATGACATGGCCCAAACACTGCTCCTATGTGTCAAATGGGATCAGGGAACGTTAGAGGCGGAGGTCAGTTAGGAGGATATTACAAATGTTCCAATAAAAAATAAAACGCGTAATATGGGGGCACCTGGGTGGCTCAGTCGGTTAAGTGTCAGACTTGATCTCAGCTCAGGTCTTGATCTCAGGGTCATGAGTAATATGGATGCAAGCTAGGAGAGCAGAAAGAAGGCATGGATTTTTAAAAATCATAATTCAAATCCACTGGCAACTCTTTATATGGGAGGGGCAATCGGTGTTCCAAAATAACTCTGAGAACTTGAGCCCGGACCGCCGGAAGGTGGTGAGAGCATCAAGGTGAACAGAGGCCACAAATGCAGGTTTGGGGTGAGTGAAAATAAGCATGGTCCTAGATGTCCTCTGTGGGAGGAGCTGGGAGGTAGAGCTCACCCTGGGGAGAGGAATAAATACGCTTTGTATAATCTATGAAGTGTCACCATTATAAGTAACATTTGCTGCATGAATGCAGGAAGGAGGGGATGAAGGAAAGAAAGACGAGGAAAGCAAAGGAAAGAGCTCTCCAGGAGGTGGCTGGATGTGAAGGCCTCTGCCTTGGGGGACAGGGCCCGTGTGGAGGCTTCTGTGTGGAAAGAGGACAGCAGGCAAAGGGAAGGAGGTGGGCAATGGAAACAATGCAGAGCAGGAGGAGAGGGGGCCTGAGACAGATCTCCCTGAGGGGCCTGAGATAGAATGGAAACTGTCAGAAGGGCAGAATCAGGAACCAAGCCACCACGGTGTCCTCAAAATGGAAAGAGACAGGCGTCTCTAAATACGGAGGGACAGTGGTCAGAAGACTGGAAAAATCCTTGGGGTTGGCATCTTGGAGTTCATTATGTGAACTAATTACGTGCCTCATTCTAGAGCTTTCCCTTCGCCCCACGCTATGAAGTACGTCCAGCTATCAAGCCGTATGAGGAGTTGACATCTGTTAAGTGACTTCCCTGAAGCCCCAGGACGAAGCTGGGGGAAGAAGGACTCTAAGCCAGTGAGACCTCATGACAAAACCTCTGACCTTCACACACTTGGCCATGAGCTTCAACACGGCATTGAGGATAGAAGCCAGAGCTCAGTGTCTGGAAAAGAGACGGAAGCAGGGGGACGCCCGGGTGGCTCAGTCAGTTAAGCGGCTGCCTTTGGCTCAGGTCATAATCCCAGGGTCCTGGGACTGAGTCCCCATCGGGCTCCTTGCTTTTGGTGGGGAGCCTGCTTCTCTCTCTCCCTCTGCCTGCCATTCTGCCTGCTTGTGCTCTCTGTCAAATAAATAAATAAAATCTTTTTTTAAAAAATCCTTTAAAAAAAAAAGAAGAGAGAGAGAAAAGGAAGCAGGAACTCACATTGATTCTCTGCTCAAGGTGGGTGCCCAGGGCTCCCTGCAAATGTGGACCCTGGGGCAGGGAAAGGGGCGGGGGTGGGGGTGGGGGTGGGGAATGGCAGTCGGAGGGCAAAGCAGGGCAGCCGCAAACTCAGGGAGGGACAGGAGGATGGTGACTCTGGGTCTTGAGCCAGAACATGGCAATAGTTTCACAAGACAGAAACCTGCATTACAGTGAACTATTGTAAACTAGGATTTCCCCACTGGAACAGAATGTAGTCACTTTTGCTATTTCCTTTCTTAACACATAGGAGGAGTGCTATTTCCTATGTTTAATATAGTATGGGTAAAAGTATTCATGCATTAGAATTGTACATACTTTTTTGGGTCCCTTGTTTTTTTCTGATGAGAGAATGATATTTCCTTTCAAAATGATAGTGGCATTAAGCTCTGGATCATGAAAAACAAAAGGAGAATAGGCCATGAGAACATACGAGCTAGAGAAGGAAATAAACACCAGTCATCGGGGGTGCATTCTCCCAATTGTAGGGCAGAAGAATTTCATGAGGGGAAGAAAATTCACTTTGCTCTACTGAGGGCAAAGGGCATTTCTGCAGTGGCCTTTGTGCAAAGCTCTGCGGCCTTCCCCTGGGGACACAGGGAGGGCTCCTAACAGGAAGGTCGTCATGTCTGTATGACTCCAGGAGCTCACAGCCTGCCACGCCTCTGGACGGCTGTTTTCAGTCTAGTTATTGCCCTTTTGAACCAGCTGCAAGCCTCACCAGTCCCTGAATGTCAAGGTCGGCGGGAGGACTTTCTCCTTCCAGGTCGGAAGAAGCCCCCAGAGGCGGGAAGGTCAGACCTGCCCTAAAGGACTTTACCATCGGGGATACTGCCAGGGGCAGGAAAGGTGGTTGTTCATCAACCCTTGGCCTCAGCCCGCGGAGAAGCATTTTGATAAACTCGCAGCAATCATGACTGTTGCATACAGAGCAGAGCTGCTGGAGGGGATTTTAAAGGAGCCCTCCAACTCAGAAATATCTGGGAAGCTGGAGAAGAGTTTCGACCATAAAAGCTATGTCCACTTGGTGCCAAAACAATGAGTGAAAATGAGAAAAAAAAATCAAATCCACCCGTTGTCTGGGTTACCTACTGCTTCGCCTCTGAACTGGCCCCTGCCACACGTTCCCCACCTTTACCACGCCCCCCCCCAGGATGAGGTGTTTCTGTGAATCTCCCCAGGACTTTATCAGTCCTGTGGCAACCCCTTCATTTTAATGGCTCTGGGGTCTCTGAGGCTCCTCCAATGAGCAGATATAAATGTCTGATTCAGACCTGACCCGGAGAAAGCAGTCGTTGCGTACCCGACCTAAGCACTGTCCACTGACACCGCAGATTCTGCATGACAAGGGAGGGACTGACCCAGAGCTTTCACCTCTGACCTAACTGCCTGCACGTGTCTGGCATCAGGTGGACACAGCCTGTAAGGTAATGGCAAAGCTTACAAACGGAAGGACCCATTTTTTCGAAGCCTGGGCACGCGTGCCCCTCTGTGGAGGGCTGCGTGCTGGGAAGCAGGAGAGCTTGGTCTGGGACCACCACAGCTTGGCTGTGCAGCTCTGACTCACCGTCGTGGGCAGCTGTGAGCAGTAAGGACACAAGCCTTCCTCTCTGGAACCTTCCAGCCTGGCCCTCCATTTCATCAGAGAACTGGTCTAGTCCCTTCAGCTCCTGATTAGGGCAGGAAACACCCACAGTCCCAGATCTGGGACAGGACTCTGAACATATCCCCCTTGCAGTAAGGGCCTGGGGTATGCTCAGGAGCCCATGGGGTCCAGTCCCCCAGCCTTGCTGCTCTTTCCAATGAGGCTGACCCCGCAGGATTTAGGGAAATCTCTCAGAACTGTGCTATGGCGATACCAGGCATCACCAGCAGATTTTTCAGAAGGCCCCAGGCACTTATCTTACTTGTTCAACTACTCCCTTGAGCTGTATGAAATTGCCATTTTTTGGTAGGTCAAACACAGTCAAAAAGGTAATGTGTTCGTCCTCACAGTAGAGATCGTGAGAGCAGTGTAAGGCTTGTGCAAGATCACAATGATGAGAACCAGACCTGGGTTCAAATCTCAGTTTGGTCACCCTCTTTCAACAAACACATCCTGCATTCCCACTCTGTGCCTGGGAGTGTTCCAGGAGCTGGCTGTGTAATGGTGACGGAGACAACGGACCTTGCTGTTCATGGCACATTCTGGGGCTGTGTCCTAGCTATTTGATTTTTGGGTGGTCACTCTGCCTATCGGAACGTCAGCTAAAAGTTTGTGAGAGTTAAATGAGATATTGCACATTAGGCCAGAAGTGCACTGGGGGTGGGGGGTCTTCCAGGCATGGCAGTTCCTGTTACTTTACTGTGCCTCTTAGAGGACTCCTAATAAATATTTACTGAATGAAACAGCCTTGGAATGGATTGTAGGAATCTCTGAGCCCACCCCCTACAGGAGAATGGTGCCCGTGGGGGGAGGGGCTAGTGGAACAGAGGTCTCCCCCACCCCTGCCCCCCGCCAGATCCCAGAGACCACAGCTCTGCACCTACCCTGGAGCTCGGAGGAGACCAGCTGTGGTCAGCTCCCATGAAGCCAGGAGGGCGTAGGCATAGGACTTCCGGGAGGTACTGTTTGGTTCATCTTTCTGAATGGATTTGAAATCATTTAATCTGAAGAAAATAATCGTCCCATTTATTGACTGAGGCAAAGCAGAGTTTGGGGCCTCAAAGGAGATATGGAAAACGACCTGTAGGAACTCCCGGTTTTAGAAATCAAACACAGATTTGGCTCTGGCTAATAAGAGGACCTGCAAATTGATCAGTCCTTCCCCCTCTTTCCACCCAGTGGAGTTGTTGGCATGAACATAGCCATGGAATAATGGATTCCTTTTGTGGCCCGGGGCCCAATTCTCCAGGCCATAAGGCCAATTCATAGGTGACCCTGCATAGCATTTCCAGCTGCATAGAGCATCCCAGACCAGATATGAATAAGCCGGCACTTGTTATCAAACAGTACAGCTTCTGATCGTACCTTTACTGCCGTCATCATCCTGAGCTCCGTTCAGCCCCTCAGGTCCATTCATCACCGGTGGTGTACAGGGAGGTGAGACCAACAGCTGCACTAACTTTTTTTCATACACTTTTCTGGTGGAAGCTGAAGAAGGAGGTGGAGAACGGATTAAGCTATGCTGCTCCCGCAGGCGATCTCACTGCGCTCACGGTATTTCAGGAAGGAATCCTTATTCTTGTACCTTACATGGTTAATTACGGTCTTTACAATCGGGTCCACCCCACAGCTACTCAATGCACTCCTTTCCTTCCACAAGCAATTAAGGTGAGGTCTCCATTGGATATATCCAAAAGTAAGACTGACAAAATTGCACTTCCTACCTACGGGGAATATTCACAATAAGTACATAAAGTTAACATAGTGCACAGACTAGAAATGAAAAAAAAAAAAAACCAAAAAACAAAAAAAAAACAGGGTGATAGAACCAAGAGTAACTGGGTTTTCCTCGTTGGAAGAAACCAATCCTTTCTCTCGGGCACCCAACTTAGTGACCTGTGCACAGAATCTGGGTGTATTTCTCACTCCTTCCCTCTTTATGGTTTTCTGTGTTTTTTTTTAGTTAATTTTTACTTATTTATTTACTTGACAGACAGAGATCACAAGGAGGCAGAGAGGCAGGCAGAGAGAGAGGAGGAAGCAGGCTCCCCACTGAGCAGAGAGCCCGATGCAGCCACCCAGGCGTCCCGGTTTTCTGCGTTTTAAGAAAATTTTTTTTTTTCTATTTCCATGTTAATGTTTTTTAGTTGTGTATGTCTCTTCCGCTGTAAATAATTTTAAATCTTGGGAGGTAGTTTGTAAGTAATAAAGGACGAGTCTGGGGTGCCTGGGTGGCTCAGTGGGTTAAAGCCTCTGCCTTCGGCTCAGGTCATGATCCCAGGGTCCTGGGATCAAGCCCCACATCGGGCTCTCCGCTCCTTGGGGAGCCTGCTTTCTCCTCTCTCTCTCTGCCTGCCTCTCTGCCTACTTGTGATCTCTGTCTGTCAAATAAATAAATAAAATCTTAAAAAAAAAAAAAAGGACGAGTCTCTGATGTTTGCCTCATACGTACGGAGTATTGGTCCAGGTGAGAATCCGAGCTTACTAAGTTCATGCTGTAACTCATAGTCCCTCAGACACTTCACATCCACCATGGTGTGACGAGGAGTTGGGTCTCTTTCAGGCAGTGGAATCTATGAAAGAGGAAAACAGTCAACTCATTAAAGCAGCCTTACAAAGAAGAACTAGAACTTTCCCAAAAGTCCACAGAAGGGCTTACAACCCAATCCCTCCACTTTTGGAGATGCACAGGCAATAACACACCTCCCACCCCAAAACCACCATTCTCTACCATACATCTCTCTTGGATTGAGGTTGCCTCCATGCAAAGCTTTGGGTGGGTGCTACTTTCCTCAGTATCTCCGGGGTTGAATTATTTCTAACTTTTCTACCATCTCATGGGAGAAAAGTCTTCTGCCTCAAATGAACACGGGAACAAATACTTCTATGACAGCTTAGAAACTCTGAGTAAGACTCGGGCTCTGAGAAGATAAGAAGTTAATTAAATATGAAAGAGCTGAGAGAGATTTTCTAGTGAGTTAAATAAAAGTTATTTATCCCTGCCCTCCTTTTGATGAGAGTACAGAGAGTCAAGAGCGTTCGGTTGCTGCAAACACTAGTAGTTTTCACACTTGTAATTTAACTCGGAACATAAAGAGATAGTAGTTTTTAATTAACTGCCAGCAGACTTTGTAATTGCTGAATTGGCATTTGAAAAAAAAAAGTCAGCTATTCATTCTCTGGCACATAAATTGATTTATATAAGCTTACACCAGTCATGATTGGCTTACCCGTCCTACACCAGCCTCAAGTTCCATCAGATCTATGCACCAGATAAATTTATCCCCCCAAAAGGACCCCTCCACCTACTTAACAAAGTCTTTGTCACACCTTTCAACAGAGATCTGTAATACAGAAGTGTATGTGTTGTACCTCACTTCTATTATGTTTCCAGGTTTTTTAATATTGCTGTGAAAACCACTGCAAGACGATCACTCAGTGTAAGAGGGTCTGGACCAATTTTAAGTAATGACTTTGCCTTTATTGGTGATCAGTCAATGTCCAATTAGGAAGTACGTGGTATACAAGCTAGAAGAAGCTGTGAGTAGTCATGTATAACAGGGTTGTTGGAGAACGCCTCCCTTTACAGTTCTCCTCTTTAAAGCTGCACTTGCACCACAGTCACATTCTGGCGCACAGTAGGGGCTTAGTAAATGGAAGTTCCCTTCTTTTCTATGTGTTGGGGAAGCTGAATTAACATTTTAGACCCTTAGGAAACAACCTAATATAGAAAGGAAAAGGACAATAAACCTCAGATTTTTAAAAAAATTATTCTTATTATCATTAGAAGCTAGCTTGGGCACGCCCCATGACATTTGTTCTTGAGAACAGCTGTCTGTTGTTTTGCCGCCTTCCCCAAAATAACCTCCAAAAGAACCCTCATCAATTTCAAGTGACACTAGGCAATTGCCTAGAGGGAACACACATACGGAAGAAAAAGATTCAAATGGAAGCCAATGGGATGATTAATCCACTTACCCCTTTACATGGTTGTCTAAAGTCTATGCAGTTGGGTTAGTTACTAAAGCTGGGGGACTTTCACCCAAGGTTTCTAGTAACAACCGGCCCCTCTTTGCCTATTAGATATTACGGTAATCATAATCCTGACAGTGTGACATCAGTAAACCCCATAGCAACAGACTGATGTGAAAGCCAGATGATTCATTTAACCTGAGTTCAGATGGAAGGAGACACTGGTTGACTTTAGAGGCAGTCTGCCATGATAAAATGTCAAGGGATGCAGAGAAGTTATCGTTTATGCACACGAAGTTTGTCTGCTACCCAAACAAACAGTGCCAGGAAACTGGGAAGATAAAGGAAAAATCAAACAAACTCAAGGGTCTCGGCCATCTTCAAAAGACCCACAGTGTGTAAGGGCCTGCTTAGCCAGAGCGAGCCATTTTGTTGTTTATGCAGTAAACTTAGATTGACACCCCCCCCCAGCCCCCAGAGGAACTTACTTAGAAACAAGTCTGGGAAACCAGTAAAATATGACTGACCAGCCCCTGATAACAGAGCCCATATACCAGGATGTGTCAGGTCAGGGGGAGGTAACAGAGCCCAGAATACAAGGATGAGCCAAGCCAGGTGGAGACATCCAATCAGGAAAGCACCTCCCTAAATACCCAAGAATGTGGGACCTGCCTTTTGGGCGCCAATTCTGACCAGAGTGACAGGCTAGTTCAAATAACTACTATAGGGTGAATTGTAATTCAACTGGCCACCTGTGTGTGGCCAGGCTCGACCACATGGCCTTCACTCTATAAAAGTTAGTCTGTGAGGCTGGGAGGGGTCGCCTCTTTGCAAGAGACGGCCCTGGCTGGTCAGTTTGATTCTTGATGCTTGGCGTGAAATAAAGCTTTGCTTGACCTTCGCTTTGTATCAGTCTCGCTCCTTTGACCATGGACCCAACACAGTGGTAGGTGGATAATTTGGCCTTGGACTCTAGGCAGAAGTGAGAAAAGAGAAGATGGCTATATTAACTTGTCAAGGAATTGCTCGTTTAAGAATAAGAAGATCCTTTAGGTGATCAGCTTGAGTCTTTTTAAAAAGAACGGCTGAGAATTTAGAAACAGTTACGCAAGACAAAACCTAAATATGGGAGAACACCTTGCCTTCATTAAATGCCAGGGATAGGAGGGAGTCACCTGAAAGGGTTAAGGGGACAGACAGTGAGCCAGCCTGCTTGGAGGCCATCCTAGCTCTATTTCTTAGCAGCTGGGTGACATCAGGAAGGTAAGTTACTCACCTGTGTCTCCTTTTCCTCCTCTGTAATGGGGATGACAATAGTACCTACCTTACAGGGCTGTTACTCGGTGGCAACCAAGTTTATAATACACATGAAATGCGTGGCACTTAGTAAGCACTATATACATGTTTCCCATTATTCTAATTATTTGTGAGCCATATCCTCAAAGCCTCCACGTGTAGTTTCTTCCTAGGAGGCCCCATCCCATTCACACTTGTCCATGGGACTCGGCCATTTCAATGCCACCCGGATTCTGGGAAAAGATTAAACATCTTTCTGTGTATCGTCAGGAGGCTCATTGACTGATTCCAGGCTGTGGTTTCAAGGGCTACAGCTCCAGAGTTTCTGAATAGAGCATCAGTTTCCAAACAAACATGTAAGGCAAACATTTGCCAACATCCAAACATTGGATTCCCCAAACAAAGACTTGGAAAATTGACACATTTGTTTCAATGAAAGCAAATAAATGATAGGCTTGGGTTATTAGGATGCATAAGCATTTTGTTTACATTTCCCAGAATTGCTTTCAACAAAAAAGCAGCCAGCAGGTGGAACTGCTTGCATTTAAACAGACTATTAGGATGAAACAGGCATTTCTAGAATATTTTCTGAGACCTCAGCGGTTTAAAGGAACTAGGCTGACAAAGGATTCTATCAGACCATCTGACTGGGTTGAGCCTCCTATTATGTGTAAACTATTCTGTCTGAAATTATTTTCCTGAAGATCCCACCAGCCTATCTAGGATTCTGTTCTCATCATTACTCTGTTTAAGAATTCCTATACTCTGCAGGACCCGGAAATACTTGATTTTGACGTTTGCAGCTTCCCTTTCCCTCGGTTTTATCTGTGCAGTCCTGGGCACTTGTTTGGTTTTTGTTTCTTATTCCCTCCATGGCTGCAAAGATATTTTATTCCATTTCTTGAGGCAAGCAGGTTTTAATTGCCAATCGAGAAGGTATTCAACATGATAAGGTATCTAAACCCTGAGAGCTTCCTCTTTTCATTAAAATGTAGATCCAATTTCTTTTCCCTTAATGCCACATGCTGTTATTAAGCGGAAATAACGGAAATAGTAAAAGCCAGATGTCACTTCGGTCTCAGGTTTGACGTGGGGCACAATTTCTTCTCCTCAAGTTTAATCTGCTGTTATTTACTAACCCCTTCCTTTGGAAGAATGCACAATTTAAATGTAAATGCAATTTACATATGGGAGCAGATAGTAGATTTGCGGTTTCAATTGCCAATAACCGTTTGCAAAGGGGGAAATCAGCTGAAGCAAAAAGATCAGCAGTTGTCAGGCTGAAGTCTGCATCACTTGCCATTATCCTAGACTTTCCTTCTGAAGGCACCTGCCTCTGAGCCTCCGCGAGGCGGGCAAAAGGAAGTGGCGAAGTGAGGCATCTTCCCAGATATTTCGAACTGCATTTACTATTGACTAGGGGAGAGAAGAGGAAGTTTGGGTTTCAAATGGGCAAATTCAGTTGGCATCATCATTGGAGTCATTAACGGACTCTAAGTCTTTCAACGAATATTTATTGATCATCTCCTATGGAACAGACATCATGCTTGGCCTAAATTAGAGAGTGGTAGAGGAGAATCTGAAGATACAGTTTTCCCTTTAAGGGGCTCTTTGTCTCCTTTAAGAAAAAGAGAACAAATAATGACGGGGGAATCAGGTAAGCTGTTAACAGAGAGTTGTCGGAGCCCAGATTCAGAAGCCTCGAAGTGTTGAAGGATTCATTTAGGCTGAGACTTCCGGAATGAGCTCTATAACGACGGGGGCTGGGGAGAGCCATTCTAGGAGCATAGTGATAGAAGGGAAATGAGCGGCAGGACAGGTTGGCCACTGATTTGTGAAGGAGCCTGTGGGCCACGTAAAAGTTAACCCTTCACCTCTGGGCACATCTGGAAGTTCGGAAGTGGGATCTGGCAAGATTAAATTTCTCTTTTGCACTGGCTGGGGGTTCCATGTTCATGCATGTGATGTAGTTTAGGTTTGGTTCTGAGTGGAGACTGAGTCAGTAATGCAAAGTCTGGAGGCTACTTGGGGAGTTATGACAGCAGCCCGGGGAAGAGTTGATTCGACTGGGACCAGGCCAGGGGCACGGGGAGGACTGGAGAGGAAGATCCGCGATTCGTGAATGATTTAAGAGCTGGGAGAGCCAGGACAGGATGTTCTGATTGGATGTTTCCTCCTGACTCCACTGGTGCAGGCACGAGCTCCATCTAAATCTTTGGGTGACTTGGCTAAGCTTCTGCCTTCGGCTCAGGTCACGATTCCAGGGTTCTGGGATCCCGGGCTCCCGGCTCAGCAGGAAGCCTGCTTCTCCCTTCCCCACTCTTCCTGCTTGTCCTCCTTCTGCTGCGGTGTCTCTCTCCGTCAAATAAATAAATAAAATCTTTTAAAAGAAATAAATCAATCTTTTGTCTCTTCCATGAGTCGCCTTACAGAAGGAACCATACGGAGTGTGGTCTACACAGCACTGACACGGGAAGGCTTCCGTTCTCGTCTAGTCAGCCCTGGATTACCCACACTACTTGAAGGCGGCAATGATGCAGATAATCCCTAACTCTCTCCTATTTGGCTTTGGAATTAATTACACCTTTTAGAGCAAATTTGCCTTCCTAATTAATCTTTCTTAGGCTAATATTAAAATTAACTAATATTCACTGAGCCTGTAACAGCTGGGCAGGGGAGGGGGCGAGCAGGGAAGGGGAGGGCAGGGTAGCTGCTCAGATTCAGGCTGAGTGGCAGGAGAAAGCCACTTCACGTTAAAATTCGGGGTGAATCATCCACGGGGGCCCTGAGCCGGGTCTAGCTCTCCAAGAGGCTGCATACAACCAGAGACTCAGATCCCCTGGGGGTTCATTCGCTGAGCACCTACTATGCGCCGGGCACCCGCACATCTGGCTGAGCCTCCAGGCGAACCCCACAGGACCTCTGCTGCCTGTTTGACGGGGACAACGGAGGAGTAAACAGATCGTTTAATCAAATGCAGTCAGGCCTCTGGCAGAAGCGTCTTCTCAAGAGAATAAGGCATGAACAAGGTTAATGGAGAAAAAAACAAAACAAATGTGTGTGAAACAAAGGGGAGAAAGCCGCTTAATTGCTATTTTACAAAGACACCAGCAAATATGTTTTTAATAAAATGAGTGCATATAGTTTCCTCTTTCAGTAACTCCAGTTTGTAAATTCCTCTTATGTGAAGTAAAATGTGATTCCTACCCACCATGATTTTTAAGCCATAATACTTTGACCCCAAGATTTCCTCTGAGCTACCAAGGAGGGGTGGGCCGCCCCAGTCAAGGGCAGCCAGAGGAACTCTACCCCTGTCTGGTTTCCATATTGAGCTCTTATGAAGACTGCTTCTATGTGATTGATTGATTGAGAGGGAGAGAGAGAGGGAGCAGGCACACAAGTGGGGGGGCAAGTGGCAGAGGGGGAGAGAGAGAGAGGATCTTTAAGCAGTCTCCATGCCCTGAGTGGAGCCTGACTTGGGGCTTGATCTCATGACCCTGGGATCATGACCTGAGCTGAAATCAAGAGGAAGATGCTTAACCGACAGAACTACCCCGGCACCCCTGAAGCCTGTATTTAAAGGAAGAATTTCACTGCTATACAAAGTTAGGAAGCCACTCATCTAGACCGTTTTCTGAACTGATTCTTAAAACCAAAATGACATCTAGTCGTGTTATGAAGACAAACCAAACCTTAGATACTGACAAATTATGGTCCTGAGGGCTTCCCTTCTAGTGTTCTGTAAGCCCTGCATATGGAGATTGATTGTGCATAAACCTGCAAGAA